AGATGGGATTGGGCAGTTCTGTGGGCAGACACAGATCATATACCTGTGAGCCTAGTCATCTAAATAAATCAGAGTTTTCAAGTATTTTAACTAACATACTTTTAAAAATGTATGCAAAATATTCTTAATCTGGGAGTCATACTCACGGGCCTATTAGTATATTACATGATTCATGTAATACAATATACAGGATATTATAATAGCAGGTATTGGATGGTGCAATTCTTACCCTAACAAGAGAGAAGAAGGCTGAGTGAAAGTTCTTGAGTCAGAGAAAGGAGAGGGATATGTAAGGACAGCAAAACACTCATAGGCATTGGAGGTAGAATTCAGAGCTGATAGAAGTGAAGGAATCTTCTTTTGCTTCTATAGCAGATGCTCAGGAGATAAGATGAATCAAAATAAAAGTGAATGGTGGCAGAGATACTTGACAAAGGTACACATGAATGAATTGGCAAAAACCTTCTGCAAAAAAAAAAAAAAAAGTTTGTACTTTAGTAAGAACAAAATCAGTGAGAAAATCCACTAGAAAGTTTACAAAGTAAACTAAAAAGTTTAAAATAAAACACAAATAAACCACTCAGAGTTAATAACATCATGGCATACCAAGTGCAATGGAACAGAGACCTGCAGAATACAAAAGAGGGAAAACAGGACTTGTGGACAGAATACTGGAGATTGAGGTGCCCAGGCAAAGAGAGGTAATACTTTGTTCAAAAAAGGGGAACTTGTGCAAGAAACAGCGAGAGTGGAGAAGTGAGAGAGTGCTGAGACAGAAAACCTTGATGCGAGTTTTATCCATTGGAAAACAAGTAAGTCAGAGCAAAAGGAGTTTAGGAGTAAATGTTTAAGAAGAAAACCACAAAAAGTAGTGAGTGGAGATTGAAAAGAAGGGTCAGTTTCAAAAAGGTAAATTCTTTTGAAAAGTGTTCTTATCCGTTGCCCACTTTTTGATGGGGTTGTTTGATTTTTTCTTGCACATTTGTTTAAGTTCTTTGTAGATGCTGGATATTAGCCCTTTGTCAGAAAAGTAGATTGCAAAAATTTTCTGCCATTCTGTAGGTTGCCTGTTCACTCCATGGAATACTATGCAGCCATAAAAAACGATGAGTCCAAGTCCTTTGTAGAGACATAGATGAAGGTGGAAACCTTCTGAGCAAACTATCGCAAGGACAGAAAACCAAACACCGCATGTTCTCACTCATAGGTGGGAACTGAACAATGAGATCACTTGGACATGGGGCGGGAAACATCACACACACTGGGGTCTGCTGTGGGGTGGAGGGATGAGGGAGGGATAACATTAGGAGAAATACCTAATGTAAATGATGAGTTAATGGGTGCAGCAAACCAGCATGGCACATGTATACATATGTAACAAACCTGCACGTTGTGCACATGTACCCTAGAACTTAAAGTATAATTAAAAAAAGGAAAAATTCAAGAAATCACTTACATGTTGTGGTTGTTGGCACAGTAGTTGAGGTGGGGGTGCTCTTAATTGTAGAAGTAGTCGTGGGGACAGTGGTGGTGGTCACCGTGGGGGAGGAAGTGGTCCTTGTGCTGGGTTTTGACGCAGTGGTCATGGTAGTGACAGTCTCAGGGATCACAGCCGTGGAGGAGGCAGAGGTTGTTGGAGGTGTACTGGAGTGAGCAGGAGGAAATATAGGTGGGATGGTGTGAGAAGTGATTGTTGACGGCCTGCTGGATTCTGATGAAGGGGTCACAGGATGGGTGGTGACAGACGTAGAGGTGTGAGGTGTACTGGCTGCAGAAAGCGTTGATGCAGAAGTAGTGGAGCCTCTGCTGGTTGTGCTGGGGGCAGTAGACATGGTCACATATGTGAGAGGAGCTGCAGTAGTCACTGCAGTTGTTGTAAATTCCTTAGTAGTTGAAAAAGATGTGGTGGTACTACTAGTAGAAGTTGATGGTGTGTTTAATTCTGTGGAAGTTATCACAGGGGTAGATACAGCACCAGTTGTTGCAGGAATGACATCAGCAGTAGAACTGGTGACAGGAGTGCTGGGAATAAAAATGGTTGTCCCAGGTGTGCTTCCTTCTGTGGTCATTGATACAGATCTGGTGGTGGCTACAGGAATGGTGGGAGTTGAGGTAGCTTCAGTAGAAGGGGTAAAAGTTGTGCTTGTGTCAAGAGGAGGTGTTGAAGGTGTGCTGGCCTCAGTAAAGCTAGTTGGAGGTGTGGTGCTAACACGGAGAGTTGTTAATGGAGTGTTTCTTTCACTGGTAGTTGAAATATGTATGGTAGTGCCTTTGGCAGGTATGGAGGATGAACTGGCTTTGGTAGAGGTGAGCAAAGGTGTGCTGGTATCACCAGGAGGTGTTGAAAGTGTGCTGGCCTCAGAAGGACTCGTCACAGATATAGGGCTGAGGAGAGTTGTCAGTAAAGTGCTTCTTTCACTCGTAGTTGACACAGGCATGGTGGTGCCTTCAAGAGTTGTAGGAGATGAACTTACTTCAGAGGCAGTGGTCACAGACATGCTGGTGTCAACAGATGGTATGGAAGGGGTGCTACTCTCAGGAAACCTCGTTACAGGGGTGGAACTGATAGGAATAGTGGTCCCAAGGGTGCTGATTTCTGTGGGTAATGACACAGACATGGTGGTACTGTCAAGAGTTGCAGAAGATGAAATGGCCTCAGTAGAAGTGGTCACAGGTGTGCTGGTGTCAACAGAAGGTGTTGAAAGGGTGTTACCCTCAGAAATGGTCACACGTGTGCTGCTGACAAGAATAGTGGTTAATGGAGTGCTTCCTTCACTAGGAGTCGAGATTGGCATACTGGTACCTTCAGGAGTTGTAGGAGATGAACTGATTTGGGTAGAAGTGGTCACAGGTGTGCTGATGTCAACAGAAGGTGTTGAAAGGGTGCTGCCCTCAGAACTGGTCACATGTGTGCTGCTGACAGGAACAGTTGTTAATGGAGTGCTTCCATCACTAGGAGTAAAGATTGGCATGGTGGTGACTTCAGGAGTTGTAGGAGATGAACTGACTTGGGTAGAAGTGGTCACAGGTGTGCTGACGTCAGCGGAAGGTGTGGAAAGCATGCTGCCTGCAGAACTGGTCACACGTGTGGTACTGACAGGAATAGTTGTTAATGCAGTGCTTTCTTCATTAGGAGTCGAGGATGCCATACTGGTAACTTCAGGAGTAGTAGGAGATGGACTGACTTGGGTAGAAGTGGACACAGGTGTGCTGGTGTCAACAGAAGGTGTTGAAAGGGTGCTGACCTCAGAACTGGTCACACGTGTGGTGCTGACAGGAATAGTTGTTAATAGAGTGCTTCGTACACTAGGAGTAGAGATTGGCATGGTGGTGACTTCAGGAGTTGTAGGAGATGAATTGACTCGGGTAGAAGTGGTCACAGGTGTGCTGGTGTCAACAGAAGGTGTTGAAATGGTGCTACCCTCAGAACTGGTCACACGAGTGGTGCTGAGAGGAATAGTTGTTAATAGAGTGCTTCCTTCACTAGGAGTAGAGATTGGCATGGTGGTGACTTCAGGAGTTGTAGGAGATGAGCTGACGTGGGTAGAAGTGGTCACAGGTGTGCTGGTGTCAACAGGAGGTGTGGAAGGTGTGTTAACATCAGAAATGGTCACGGATGTGGTGCTAACAGGCAAAATTGTTAATGGAGTGCTTCCTTCACTAGGAGTCGAGATTGGCATACTGGTACCTTCAGGAGTTGTAGGAGATGAACTGA